CGGTTTTGTAGCATCAAGTGCACCTGTCAAAGATCAGGCTAGAATGTTACGCACAGGGACAGAAGTTGTCCGTGGAAGAACTAGTGGAATTTCTGTAAGATCTGCTTTCCTGTTCGACATCCTTACTGGTTTGACCATGAAACTGTTCTTGGTATCACTAGTGGAAACCAAAGGAAGCCCACAAGTTCCGGAACTCATTATGCTTTTATTTTTTTGAAATCCATTGATTTAAAAAATATTTGGGAGGTTTAAGAGAAAGAATGTGACAGATATCTGTTATCAGTTTCCTGCTGTAAGAAGATAATAATTTATTTTAGAAATAAATTTTATTTATTTGAAATCAGAATGACCCCCCAAATGACTGCCGCGGCCAGGAAGGGGCCGGGCTGAAGCCGGGAGCCTCTTCCAGATCTCCCGTGTGGTTGTGGGGACCTAAGCAGTAGGGCCATCCCCTCCTGCTTTCTTAGGCCCTTAGCAGGTAGCTGGATCATATGCGGAACAGCTGGGACTCCAACCAGAATGCATTTGGGAGGCCTGGAGACAACTTAACCTACACCAGAGTGAAAGAAATGGATCTTCTATGGCCCGTTGACTCCCCGAATGGCTGCAAGTGGCATGGCTGGGAGCTAGGGCCACCTGCCACTGCTTTCCCACACGTGTAGCAGAGAGCTGGACTGCAAGTAGAACAGCTGAGATTTGAACCGGTGCTTATGCTGGCCGCTGGAGTACCTCGTTCTGAAAGTGTTCAAGTCTTGTTTTCTCAGTTGTTTTTAGCTCAAATTCACAATTCCCAAAGAATGTAAAGTTTGGTCTTGCAAGTTCAAGATTAGTATGTAAATGAAGTCATTCTGCATATAGTCTTCTTGCTTTTTTTATGCAACATTTTCTGCCCGAATTCAGTCCGTGGTGTGTGTGGCTTCTTGATTTAGTCATTGTGAAGATACCACAATTTATTTATGCATGCTGTTGTTTATCAACACTTGGTCTGTTTGGGGGCCCCCTACAGTTATAAACAGTGCTCTGTAAGCATTCTTTTGCATGCCTCCTGGTGCACAGGCAGGGGGATCTCTAGGGAATGCTCCCAGGGGTGCAACGACTGGGTCACACAGCTCAGCTGAGTTTTGAATGTACTAGATTATGCCGGATGATTTCCCAAAGTGTTGCAACAATTGCTGTGCATTCTCACTGGCGTTGGTTTCCATCAGGAGTCACCCCTCGGGTGAATGGTAAATAATGGTAAATGGTACTCAGGGTTTTTCCCTCTACTTTAATAATACTGAGCATTTTCCATGTATTTTTCCCCGTTGTTTTCTTTTGTGAAATGGACGATGAATGTTTTTTGCCTCTGTAACAGTGGCGTTGTTTATTTTTTCCTGAGTTATGGAGTGCTTTATGTACTAGAAATCAGTCTTCTATATTATGAGTATCTTCTCCCAGCTTCTAACATATTTAAAATTTTTCTTAGGTGTCTTTGGAGAGAACCATAAACTCTTCGATTTTTATTTTTGATGATGTTTACTTAGTTGCTCAGAGTGGTAAGGATTCAGGGTCAGGGAAAAGTGGGTGTGGTCATTGTTTCTGAAATTTCTATTTTTTTTTTGCTGTTTCTGGTGGAAGGAGAGAGATAAGGGAAGAAGCCATTTCTAGCCTCCCAACCATCCCAATATCCAGGGATGGCGAACGGGCACCCAATATCAAGAAACATAAACTCTTAAAAAAAAGTGTATTTATTTTAATTGGAAAGGCAGATATACACAGAGAAGGAGAGACAGAGAGGAAGATCTGTCCACTGGTTCACTCCCCAAGCAGCTGCAGTGGCCCAGGCTGAGCTGATCCAAAGCCAGGAGCTTCTTCTGGGTCTCCCATGCAGGTACAAAGTCCCAAGGTTTTGGGTCATCCTCTTCTGCTTTCTCAGCCTGCAGGGAGGGAAATGAATGGGAAATGGAGCAGCCGGGATATGAACCAGCGCTCATATGGGATCCTGGCATGTGCGAAGCAAGGACTTTAGCCACTAGGCTACCACACTGGGCCCAAGAAACAAACTTTTTTATTATTATTTTTTTTATTTTAGATGATGCTAACATAGTTGATCGAAGTGGAATGGATCAAGGGCTAGGGAAAAGTGGGTATGATCATTGTTTCCAAATTTTCTGTTTCTCCTTCTTGTTTTGGGGTGGTGGGATGGGGGAGGGGAGAGAAACATAAGCTCCTGATAAGGCTGAATGATTTCCTTTATAGTGAATAATATGGTTTATCCATTTCCCCATTAGTACCTATAGAGAAAGTTCAAGCTTCCCTTCTGTATCTGCACTGCCGGTTCTAGAGTCAAAAAACAAAGCTAAAATAAAACAGGCAGATTTTCATGCAGGAATAGGTCTGATATTGGATTCTGCATTCAGATGCATTGATCCATCTATATGTTTTTCTAAAAAAAAAAAAAAACAAAAACAAAAAAAACACTGTTTTAGTTGTCATGACCCAGGGATAATTTTAGCATCTATGAGTGACAAGTTCTCCCAGGTGGTTCCTCTTTCGGAGTCATCTCTGCCTCTTCTGTCCCTGATGTACAATTTAGGGTCCATTTGCCAGGCATTTGGGAAGCGTGTCTTTCCCTTCCAGATGAAAAGCAAACATTTTTGAAAACATCTCACTATGAAGACAATTACCCAAGTCTTTCTTTCTATAATGAATTTGTAATTTTTCAAACCAGGAACTCCAGATTCAATTCAAGTAAGTTGTGATCAGATACACATTATGTGCAGGGTAGGCATATGTATTGTATGTACTATTCTACTCCTGGCTCAGATTCTTTTTTGTTTGTTTTTCAGCTTAGGCCTGATTACAAATGCCTGGTGGAGTCCGAGGACGTCAGATGTCTGAAACCCGTGCGGCCACCTGTGTGACGGCAGGACTTGAACCCAGCCTCGTTTATCTCAGTGAAGTTCGAGGAAGCAATGCACTTGAATGTCAGCTCTTCACGTCTTGTGAGTTGATACGTGTGCTGTTTCCTCTGGGTGAACTGTTGCTTCACCAGCACTACTCTCACCCTGTCAAAGGTTTCTGGTAAATTCTTCAGGTGATGGGAAAAGGCAGGAGTTGTCACTTGATGCTTGTGAGGCATTGGTTGGAGGTGGCCACGGTCTGGCTGGGAGCACACACACAGAGGCGGAGGTGAGCCTGGAGGTGCGCTCCAAAGGCCTCTTGGCCTCTGACCGTAGTAGCAGTTCAGTAGGCTGGTAATCCTTGAGCCTTGGTCACATGAATATGACAGAGGAAGAGCAGCACTTTCCAGATTGGCTAGGTCTTGAAAATTACAGTTTCTAGTTGTGGGATATAGGGTGGCCAGGCAGGATCTTTGCATTCAAAAAAACATTTTTTTTTCTTAAATTTACAAATGAAAAATGAATAAAGCCTTATTGCCACCAGAGCATTGGGAAAAGGTCACTGAATCAACCAGGGGTGGTGCTGGAGTGTTGAGAAGCATCCAAATGGCAATGGAGAAACGCCCCAAGTTATCAACCTGTTGTCTGGCTCTGATGGGCCAGCGATCAGAGAGCACCCCTTTGAGACAGAGAAGTGGTCTGTGAGCTTTTTCTTGTGCTTCCTGGTGAAAGCATTTGTTTTTTCAGATCTGTATGCTTGCCCCATCCTTGCTGCCAATATTGGGATATCCCAAAGAAATTACCATTGGGAGCTGCTACATAGGCATGACTTGTTATACTGATGTAGTAAGACAGCTTCAGGTAGAACCCAAACTTGGGATGACTGGCTTGTTGGGATACAAGGACACTCAGGTTTGCATTGTAGCATGATAAAGCATGGCCATGCATGGCATGATCGTAATTGAGACAGGACAGCCTGGATGTGTCATAGGCCTTCACTCTGATGTTTGCGTGCTGAAGAAGCATCTAATGATACAGTTCTCAGACCATCTCCCCATCAGGAAGTGACACAAGGCTGTGCCAGCTAACACTGAGTGCTGGTCTTATGCCGGGCCTCACATGGCTTTTGTCATTTCCTCTTCAATAAACCCTGTGCAGTAGGCACTGACTACTAGAGTCAGCCCCACTGTCCTAAAGCACTGAGGTGCCGGGGGCTCAGGTAACAGGGAAGCTGAGTATTCAGCTCAGGCTTTGGTTCCAGAGCCCACCTCCCCAGCCTTTGCATTCTCCAAACCCCTTCACTGGTGAAGTCTGTCTCTTCCCTGCGTGGACATGATGATGGCTTCCACCCATCAGCCAAGAGGTATCCCTGAGCCTCTGCTGCTGAGATGTGCACACTTCCCGTGGGAAGGGTATTTTGGGCACTCTGGGCAGAGCCTCTACCTGGGCCCTGGGCAGACTGCCATTTCTGCCCATGCATCCAATGGGAATACATCTGTGGGAACAAGGAGAGCCTCATCTCACTCCCCCAATGCTGAAAGTGACAGAGAGACACTCTAGAATCAGCAGAATGTCCGTTGACTCAGTGCACTCACTTCTGTGTATAGGATCATGGAGTCTTTACAGTAAGCTGTCATCTTCCCCAGGTACCTCAGTCCTGGAGAAGAGGAGAGAAAAGAGAGGAAAAAGTATCTCCTTGTTAGTTTCAACATTTTAAATGTAAGGTAGGATCAAGTTCTTGGAGCAAAAACTGCTTCGTCACAGATATTACTAGAAAAAAAAGTTTAGAGAACTAAATGCTTGTCCCCGTAAGTTTTGATTACTATAGCCTTTGGGTCAAATTATCTCATTAGATTCGAATAAATGTTTTCCATCATGAGCAAGGAAGGTTTTATACAAATTCTCTTTCCCAGAACTCTGGCGAATGAAATGGAAACTCCCTTCCCTGGTTATGGAAAACAAAAGCAAACCGAAAGCCCTCCCAAGCTTCATGTTTGCTGAGTACCCTCTGGCTTTGCTAGGTGGCGCTGTAGGCTAATGCATGGGTCATGTGCCGCTGCGGCTGCCTGTCTCTGAGGTCAGGAATGAAGAGAGGGAAGGAGACTGCACCTCCCTGAGTTGGCTTCCTGTGTGAGGATCTACAGATCAGCCGAGGAGGTGATGGAGGTGAGATCTGTTTCCTGGAGCCTGGCCTCTTTAGAAGCTGCCCTGTATCCCTCAGAACGCCTTTCATGGTCGTTCACAGCTGGCTGTGAAGGGAGTCTGGCCCTGTGTTTGGGCTGTTTTCTATTTTCCTTTAAAGCTTGCATTTACTTATTTGATAGGCAGAAAGAGAAACAGAGCTCTCCTAACCATGAGTCACACCTGCAGCAGTGCTGGGCCTAGGACTAGGGACTCAATCCAGGAATCCCACGTGGCTGCCAACTATTCGATCCAACGCTGTGGTTCCCAGCGTCTTGCACTATCAGGAAGCTGGTTTGGGGACCTGGAGTCAGGACGCAAACAATGCAGGTGTCTGGACACAGGATGTGCTCTTCTTAAACACTAGGCCAGTGCCTGGTGAATCTTAAACTTGACCCTAAGCGTTGCTGACTCTCGTAAATATTGCTCAAGAATTTTCAGAGGAAGGTCCAAAACTCATATTGAATGAAAAGAAGGGACCATAATTCAAAGGATTGTACCATCCCCTTCTCCTTCCCCATGAACAAGGTCAGTGTGTAGGGAAATCCCAAGTCCTGTGCTTGCCTGTGCCTCCAGATGTTTCCCAGCCTTGCCCAGGCCTGGGCCTGCCTTTCTCCATCCCCACAGCTCTCGGAGCCAGCTTCCTGCATAGGAATGGAAGCTCCGGGTGGAGGGAAGGGTGGGTGTCACGAGTCCCAGAAGCCCTGGGTGGTCTGGTGGGGATCCCAGGGGACCTGCTGACTGAAAGAATCCCCTTTCCCCTCCCTGCCAGAGGCCTGAAGCTCCCAGCACACTGGCTTCTTGGCCTCAGGACATTAAAGGCTCTTGTTAAAATACGAAGGTGATGGAAAGATTTTCACTGCACAGTTACGGGGTGATCCAGTGATCCAGTGCAGAATGGCACTGTTGCGGGAGAAGCTCGGGGAGGAGTGGGAGCCAGTCGTGGTCATGGGTGGAGTGGGGGGGAACACCAGAATGGAGCCAGCCTCCCTTATGTGGCTCCTGGCTCCTGGATCCCTCTACCTGCTCTGCTTGGCTGCAGTCCTGTGGTTGCCAGTGGATCCCGGGCACGCCCGGGAGTCAGGGTTTCTGCCCTGTGTTTCTCTGTGAACACTCCAGTGTGTCCCCAGGGCTCCTGGTTTGGGTTAGGACCCATCCCTATCCCATCTGTCCTTCTCTGAAATCTACTTCATGCCTGAGGGCAGCTCTGATGCTGGCCCAGGGCTGAGGGTACAAAATCATCTACATATACGGCCAAGGCAAAGCCTCATGGTACACAAGTTTGCACAACATGTGAGGCGTGAACAGAAATTGCAGTTAGTACAGCAAAGCAGCTCATGTGGTGAGGTCTTCAGAGTGTTTGCGGAAAATGCTAATGGAAAAAGCTGTTCATGAATTTATGCATTTCCAATTTTTCTGCACCAGAATCAACTTGTCTTTAATTCCACTTTTCCACCGTATGTCCCAGAAAGTAGGTGGAAAGGAGATAACATAAGAATAATGCACGAAACGATCAAAACAGGAAGGAGAATAAATGGTGGAATGATTTGTGAAAGACGTGTGTGTGTGTGTGTCCGCACACAAGAAGATGAGGATACGCAGAAAACAAAGAGGAGGAAGAAAGCCAGGAGAATAATGAGGCTCTGCTTATTTTGTGTGTGACAATATTGCAGACTTACTTCTTCTGAAGGTGCCCTGAACCGTTTATTTGAGCAGTGGAAGCTCTGCTCTGGTGCCACGGCCATCCGATGCATTTGTCTCTTTCAACCTTGAAGCCTCTGTCTGTCCTCCCCGCATTTGTCTCTGTCGTGGTAGTGGTGCATCTCTTGGCAGTAAACATCAGTAAACCAAAGTGCCATGAGTCATATTTTCAATTTTTAATTAAATCACAGCCTAGCTACAGTTTGATTTATTTGGGCCTGAATTAATTTAGACCCTGGTCCACATAAATTTATGGACTTTATCTAACTCAGCTCGTGCTTGTATAGATTGTAAAATCACCCTCATATCAAGCAGTGAGTTGTAGAAATGTAATTTCTGAGGGTGATGGTAATTTTGTTCTTGATGCTAGCATAGAGGAACTCTGTTGTAATCCTAAATGAAGAGCTTATGACATCATCTGAAGATACTGCTTTCCATATGTTTCCACCCCGAGTTTCAGTGATACGGCAGAGGCTCATTAAGAGTGAGTGAGACGTCCTTGTTCTCTTTCTTTCCCAGAATGATTATGGAAGGTCATAAATCCGTACAGTAAGTGTCCAACAAAAACTCATCTGCCTCACTCAAATATAGCGAGTACTATTTTAAACACTCAGAAATGTGAGTCACGCTGATACCGTGTTCCTAGAATTCCAATAAGAAATCATCGTGTTGAATTACTATTCCAAAGAAAGGGTCATAGCTTACAGGAAATGAGCGGGAGGTGACAGGAGGACTGGGTGGCTACAGAGAACATGCTGGCTGGGGAAGCTTGGCCGGAGCCCTGGCCCTGCGCTAGGGACTGACAATGGCCACATGGCAGGTGGTAAATGAGGCGCTGCACACTGCAGCCCAGCTTTAGCCAGACTGGAGGTGCAGGGATGGGGAGGAGTGAGGGGTCAGACAGGAGAGAGGAGTGCGAGGAAAGGCTGCTAGAGGGATGGGCAGTGAAGATTGGGGTCAGGGAAAGTGGCCAGGGGCAGCACTGAAGCTGCCCTTGGCTGTTGGTCTGCTAGGAACCCCACAGTCCATTTGCCTTCTTGGGCTTGTGGTTTTATGGAACTTCTGAGTGTTGAATATCATGGGATGCGGGTCCAGCACAGTTGCCTTGCGGTTAAAGTCCTCACCTTGCACATGCCAGAATCCCATTTGGCTGCCAATTCTAATCCCGGCAGCCCCACTTCCCAGCCTGCTCCCTGCTTGTGGCCTGGGAAAGCAGTCGAGGATGGCCCAAAGCCTTGGGACCCTGCACCCATGTGGGAGACCTGGAGGAGGTTCCTGGCTTCTGGCTCCTGACTTCGGATCAGCTCAGCTCTGGCCATTGCAGCTGCTTGGGGAATGAATCATCATTCGGAATATCTTTCTCTCTGTCTCTTCTCTGTATATCTGCCTTTCCAATAAAAATAAAGTAAGTCATTTTTTAAAAAAATCATCAGATGCACATAGTTGGCAATGCATGACTTTAACTTGAAACTCGTCTTGGAACCTTCAGAGGGCAAAATAATCTGATTCATTTTTCTGCAAAAGACAGCATGGAATGTGCTTTGTTGGGAAGAAGCCTGCATGTTTTAGCAGAGCTTAGATGGCGGTGCTCCTGTCCTCTGCGATCTGGGGAGACCGGAGCTTGGGGTCTAAGAGCAGACCTGCTGGGGGTGCTCCTGTTGCCTTTTCCTCTTCCTCGACTTATCAAACAAACCAGCAGGACACGAGCTCTCAAAATAGGATTACTTGTGCTTGTGAATGGTTTGATGAATCTCAAATGTTTGCGAAGCTCTTGAAGTCAAATCAAATCAACGTTTCATTACATGCTCAATGAACTTATTTGTCAGGAAGAAGTTGGTATTCTTCCCAGAAAGCTGGAAATAGTGGGTATCATACTTCCAGCAATTCCTGAAAATCCTCATGCATTAATAATTTTTCTGATGGGAGGGGCCGGGAGGCTCTTTACTGGTTTGCAAGAAGCATAGCTTTATCTCAAGAGGGTGCACTAAACTTCTTCACAGAACTCGCTTTGATGTGCCTTGTTGAACTTTTGAGTGGGGCTTGGCGCCAGGAGGGGATGAATATTGTATGATCCAACAGAGTGGCAGGTACCGCGCACCCCTTCAGGTTGAGGCGATCTGGGCGCACACCGAGGAAGGAAGAGGCATTGGCAGAACCGTCCTCCCTGCCCCGAGCCCAGGGTCCTGAGGATTGCAGCACGCCTGTGGGGAGAAGCAAAGTCGGTTCCGATAGCATCCTAGTGCCTCCTGCTAACCCAACACGAGAAAGTCCCATTTGCATTGATTAACTTTATGAAAATGACAGTAATGCTTAAAATGCGTGCTAGGACTCCAGGCCCAGGTTCAAAACCCAGCTCTATAACTAACTGGCTGTTTCAGCTTCCTCAGGGGCACTGCATCTGTCAACAGCCGTGTCTGCTGGGCTCACTACTGCCTTCTGAGGCTTTCTAAGTGTTTTGGCTATATCCTAGTAAGGAAATGGAGGACATGTAATTGATGCTTTGCAAATTTCCCACTATCATTTGTAGAAATATATATATATGGCACCCAGTGTGATGGCTCAGTTGCTAAAGTCCTCACTTTGCAAGTGCCTGGATCCATTGTTTTCTATTGGAAAAGCAGATTTATAGAAAGAGAAACAGAGAAAGATCTTCTGTCCACAGATTCACTCCCCAAATAGCTGCAACAGCCGGAGCTGAGCCGATCCGAAGCCAGGAGCCAGGGGCTTCCTCTGGCTCTCTCACATGGCTGCAGGGGCCTCGGTTTCTGTCCCAGGCCACAAGCAGGAAGTTGAAAGAGAAGTGGAGCAGCAGGGATATGAACTGGTGCACATGTGGGATCCCGGTGCATGCAAGATGAGGACTTTAGCTACTAGCTACTGCACTGGGCCCAAAAATAAAGTTAAAAAAAATTTTAAGATTTATTTATTTTATTGGAAAGCCAGATATACAGAGAGAAGGAGAGACAAACATCTTCAATCCGCTACTTCACTCCCTAAGTGGCTGCAACGGTTGGTGCCAAGCCAATCCAAAGCCAGGAGCCTCTTCTGGGTCTCCCATGTGAGTGCAGGGTCCCAATTCTTTGAACCATCTTCTACTGCTCTCCCAGGCCACAAGCAGGAAGCTCGATGGAAATTGGAGCCACTGGGATTAGATTTGGCGCCTATATGGGATCCTGGTGTGTGCAAAGCAAGGACTTTAGCCGCTAGGCTACCACACCAGGCCATAAAAATAAATAAATCTTAAGGAAAAAAAGCATATATGACATGAAAGTTATGGTATCATCAACATTCTTTCTACTTAAAACTGTGTATTGATAGTCTTGGTCTGGATCTTTTTGGAATCCACATAAGAGTTAAAAACATCATTAGCCTTTTGGGATCATTTGAAAAAAATCATTGGTTTGAAAGGCAGAGTAAGAGAGGAGGAGAGGGAGATTGACTTATCTTTTATTTGCTGGTTCACTCCCCAAATAGCTACAATAGCCTAGTTTGTGCCAGGCAGAGGCCAGGGGCCAGGAACTTCTTCCTGGTCTCCCACATGTATGGCAGGAGTCCAAGCATTCCAACTGTCTTCTGTTCCACACGGGATACATTAGCAGGAAAGTGGATCCGACGTGGGGTAGCCAGGACTCAAACTGGCCAATCCAATGCGAGATGACAGTGTTGCCAGCCAGGGCTTAACACACTGTACCACCGTGCTGGCCTCTGGAAGGTGTTTTACTGAGCAGCCGACATCACTGAGGTTGTATTACCAGGATCCTAGTAGAAAAGGCACAGTGGACTCTAACAGACACTAGCTTAGATCTGAGTAGGACAAAAGGGAGTTCTCAGAGGACAAGTCGGTGTAAAGATAATGGAACCTGGATGAGTCGTGGGCAGGGAAACCTAACAGAAGCAGGCCAGGCCTCAGGTGGGAAGATGAATTAAGGCAGGCAGGGTAGGGCTTCTTACTGTCTGCCCCAATGAAGGGGGAAGAGAGGCTTTTGCTGGCCTGGTTGTCGTTGGCATGTAGATAGCCCATGACCCAGCAACAGCTGTTGTGCATCCTGTCCTGAAAGCAGGAGGCCCTCTGAACTGCTCCTTTGTGCCTGGCTCCCAGCTTTGCTCACCTTTCTTGAAGTTTGTAAGGAAAACCTGGAAGTGAGCACAACACAAGGATGCACCATAGGCCTGGGAGGCGATGGGGAAGTCAGGCAGCCTGCTCTTGCACCCTGTCAAGGGTAAACTTGCAAACCTGGACATGTGTGTGTGTGTGCGCGCACATGTGTGCTTGCGACTTACACAGGACATTCTGCAAGGGAGTTGCTTGGGCCTGGAGTTTATACAATTACCTGTAGTGATAGTTCTGTGTATCAAGTTAGAGGGTAGCTTGAGGTGAAACTAACAAATAGGTGCGTTTTAGATAGGTAATTTGTCCTCCAGAATGAGAGTGGGCCTCAGCCAATCAAAGTCGAAGACCTGAATACAACAAAAGGGACAGTGTGAAAGACCAGGCTCCCCAAGCCAGAAGGGTTTCCCCACTAGTGCTTGGAAGGCACCATCTGCTCTCCCTGCTCCTCCGAGTCTTGAACCCGCCCAACGTATGGCAGATTTAGCTCACACCAGCCTCCACAACTGGGTGCACCACTTTCTTAGAATAACTGCTTCTTCATGACCATGCCACTCCAGCTGTAGGCTCTGTGTCTCAGGAGAATCCTGACCGATGCCAAGTCCCTCACATACCACACTAGTTCCCCTCACTGCTCTCCACTTCTCACAGTCGTCCTGCTCTCCCTTGCTGCTTGAAGATTGCGTTCCTGATGAAGCCCTCAGTGTCAACATCTGTGAAAGCAGTGAAGCAGAAATAGCCTTGGAGGCAGGAGAACTTCCAAGTTACCCAGTAGCAACCTCCCACCTTCAAGGGTGGCTCTGGCCAAGTTGTCCCATCCCGGGGAAAGACCATCCTTTGTGCTTCCTCCCCTCCACCGTCAGAACCAGATGACTTTCTGGATCTCACAAAATCCTGATGAGGCCGGAGCTGAAAGCTGTCCTCACCAGCACCCCAGCCATGGGGGCACTGAGTCCCTCTGGGAGGTGGAAGCCGGGACTGCAGCCAGCTTCTTGGCCAATTTTAAGTTGCCCCCACAATAAAGAGCTTGGCCTTACAAAAGGAACGACATTAAGAATTCCTGTAATGAAGACTTTGTCCCTGGAAGCCTGACCCATTGCAACTGAGCATGTTTTGCTCTGCTCTGTGCTGGTTATTTCAAAATGGAAGATAGCTGGGGGGCTAAAAAGGAAGCTGGAAATTCAACAATCCAAGCCCCCCAAAACACATACAACCAGAATGGAAATGAGTGGAGTTAAGCTAGCAGAAGGCTGTAGGGAGCTGTGGCAGAGAAGGGGCACAGTTGCTGTCGTTAATGATGTGGAGATGGAAGTAGGCTTTTACGAGATGGCCAGCATTGAGGTCTGGCCCGTGGCACTGGAGCAGGTGGAGTTGTGATGTTGCTGGGAAGATGGCAAGAGTCCTGGGGTCAGACTGTGGGTGGCAAGTGAGAGAAACATTTCTGAGGAAGGGCATTTCCCAGGGTAGGGCAGGAAGCCGAGCTCATATCCTGTTTCTTGGTCCATAGGTCAGAAGGTCTGTGTTTGAGTGTATCTCATGGACTGCATCTCTCCAAGCCTTAGTTTTGGATATCTGTAAAATGGGACCTTTAACGTACTGGGTAATTGGATTATTGTGTTAGGTCAATGAAGTATTGCCTGATAAATATTTACCTGGCACATTATGAATGATAGACAGCTTTACCAAATTATGATTGGGATGGGAGTCGTCACAAATCTGGTCAAGTTCAGACTTTCTATAGGATTTGTACTGGTGGAGTAAATTGTCTCACTTCTTTGAACCAGGGATATCCATCAGGTGTCAACCTGTTCTAGCAGGTGACTTTCTTTGGCTGCATATGGAAGTAACCTGGAGCAGAGTTGGAACATGTAAGTGTTGACATTTGGGCCACACCCCTGGACAATCAGATTTAATTGGCCTGGAGGAGTGCCTAGGCATCAGGAGTTTGAAAAATTCTCCAGGTAGTGATAACATCTGGTCAGGCTTGAGACTCATTTGTGTGTGTCCTTTCCACCCTACCTTGATGCTGTCCTCTGCTTGTTCCAGGCGTATTTGTTTTGTTTACTCAGCTAAATGGCAAGTCTTTGTGGGCTCACCTGTTTTGTAGCATGGAAGGCTGCGAGGCACAGGGAGCCAGAAGCAGAAAAGCCTGTACTGTGGTTTCCTAATTGGCTGTCGGGCCCTGAATCCTAAGTTTGAGCATGTACAATGTTCCAGACACTGTTCCAAGTATTTTGAATGCGTTAGTTCGTTTATTCCATCTGCCTGATGAGACAGGTTGAATTACTCTCCTCAGAGACACTGAGTGACTTGGCCAAGGTCACTGCACCATGCTTGTGGCTCTGAACCTTAGAGACCTGAACCCCCACCGGGAGCCACCCACCATCCTGGGCTAATACAAGGGAAGCTTCATTGTACTCTTGTCCAAGGGGAGGGACTGGGCTGTTCTTGAGTTTCCCCAGCCCCCTTGTGCTCACTTTGGCAGCACATGTACTAAAACTGGAACAATACAGAGAAGATTAGCATGGCCTCTGTGCAAGGTGACATGCAAATCCCATCCACCCTGTCCTGTTATTTAACAGTTCTGCATCCCCCACCAAGCACTCAACAGATAATACAGGAGGAGACTGGTACTATCCTACCTTGGACTGATGGTTAAGTCAGAGAACGTTGATTATTTTTAAATGTTGTAAAATGTGGGGCCAGCGTCATGGCGTAGTAGGCTACGCTTCTGTATGCAAGTACTAATGATAACAATAGCAACAATACACCAGAGAGCCCTTAATGTATATGATGTATGCATGTCATTTTTTGCTGTTTATATTAGATTTATTTATTTATCTGAAAGGCAGAGATACAGAGAGAAAAGCAGAGAGAGAAGACTTCCTTCTGCTGGTACACTGTCAAATGAATGCAATTGCCAGGGCTGGGCCAGGTTGAAGCCAAGAGCCTGGAATTTCATCTGGGCCTCCCATATGTGTTGGGGGCACTGATAATTTCCTGCCCTGTGATTGGCCCTTTGCCCTGATTGGTGTGCCTTGGTGCTGATTGGACAGGATTGACATATAAGCCGGGGGCTTGGCGGGGGAGGGGCTTGAGCATAACGGAATTAACGGACATAACGGTTTCAACGGAAGGTCTGAATAAAGCGCCTCTGAGACTCTCTCCAGTGTCGGGTGATTTCTTCCATGCGACGGGAGACCCCGATACATATGGGTGGCACAAGCTTCCCTGCATTAGAAGTGGAGCAGCCGGGACTCCAACCTGTGCCCATATGAAATGCCAGTGCTACATGTGGCGGTTTAACCCATATGCCACAGTACTGATTCCTAATCTGTAAGTTATTATTTTTTTTAAGATGCATTTATGTTTATTGGAAAGACAGACATACAGAGAGAGAGAGGAGACAGATTTTCCATCTATCTGCTGGTTCACTCCCCAAGTGCTCACAATGGTCAGAGCTGAGCTGATTCAAAGCCAGGAGCCAGGGGCCTCTCCCTGGTCTCCCGCATGTTAGCAGGGTCTTAAGGTCTCGGGCCGTTCTCAACTGTTCCCTCAGGTCTCAGGTGGGGAGCTGGATGGGAAGTGGAGCAGCTGGGACATGAACTGGCGCTCATAAGGGATCCTGGGTGTGCAAGGCAAGGACTTTAGTCACTAGGCTTCTATACCAGGTCCCATTTAAAAGATTTATTTATTTTTCCTGGAAAAGTATATTTTATAGAGAAGAAGAGACAGAAAGATGTTTCATTTGCTGGTTCATTCCACAAATGGATGCAGTGGCCTGAACTCGGCAGATTCAAAGCCAGGAGCCAGGAGCTTTGTCTGGGTCTCCTACATGGCTGTAGGATCTCAAGGCTTTGGGCCAAGCTTTGCTGCTTTCCCTGGCCATTAGCAGGGAGCCGTATGGTAAATGGAGCATCTGGGACATGAACCAGCACCTATATAGGATGTTAATGCTTACAGGGGGAGGATTAGCCAATTGAGCTAACATGCAGGTCCCAATCTGTAAGTCCTTTAAAAAAGACGAAGGTCGGCATAATAAGCCTCATCGTCTGGGCAGGGCTGGCAAGGTACAGAGCTTGTTTCCAAGCGCCTCGGATGTCAGGTGTCTCATGAAAGGATTCTAAGTCCTGATGAAAACTCGAATTCAGGGCTTCTTCAAGCATGGCATGTGCCAGAGGCAGAGAACGACATGTGTCTTTGGCCACAGGTACAAATGTGCCCCAAGTGCTCCATGTCACCAAGGTTGGGCACTGATGTCTCGAGAGGTGTGGCTCTTTTTGCTCCAAGACGTGGGCACGCCTCAGAAAGATGTTGTTATCAAGGCAGATGCTCCCGACTCACTGTTCCTGGAGAAACTTGCTGAGTATATTGTATCCTATGGCTCAAAGAGAAATGATTGTGAATACTGCATGTCTGAGTACTTGAGGATGAGTGGCATGTGTTGTGGTCTGACAGTAATGGATCTCATGGGACAACTTAATCGCATGAATAGAGAAGAAATTCTGACATTCACAAAGTCGTGCCAACACGAATGTGGTGTAAGTATTGGGCATGATCCTCATCTTTTGTATACTCTAAGTTCTGTCCAGATTCTTACGCTATATGATGGTATTAATAAATAAATAATAATAAGGTTGTGGAATACGTACAAAGTCGACAGAAAGATGTTTCATGTGCTGGAGACATTTGGGGTCCCATGAAGCAGCTGGTCTAAGTGGAGTTAACAGTCTGCTGGAAGTTCCAGCATGCACTGTGATGGTTATATCAGCATGCAGGTGCACTGGAGCAGAGGGGCCGGACTACGGGCCCGGTGTGATAGCACAATGGTTAAGGTCCTCGCCTTGAACACACCAGGATCCCATATGGGCACTTGCTCTAATCCCGGCAGCTCCATTTCCCATCTATCCCCCTGCTTGTGGCCTGGGAAGGCTTTGAGGATGGTCCAGAGCCTTGGGACCCTGCACCCACGTGGGAGACCCGGAAAGAGGTTCCTGGTTCCTGGCTTTGGATCAGCGCAGCACCGGCTGTTGCGGTCATTTGGGGAGTGAATCATCGGACCGAGGATCTTCTGCTCTGTCTCTCCTCCTCTCTGTACATCTGCCTTTCCAATAAAATAAATAAATCTTTTTTTTTTTTTTTTAAAGGGACTGAACACAGTGCAGGCCAGAGAGACCAGATGCTTCATGGGAAGTGAAGATCTATTAAGTGGGGAGAAATTGATACAGGATCCTCTTTTCGTGCGGTGGCAACATTGGCTCTACTGGGGAAGCTTGATGCTAATGATGTGGGAAAAGCAGTCGAATTTGCTTTATCTTGTATGAGCTTTGATGGTGGATTTGGTTGTAGACCAGGTTCTGAATTCCATGCTGGGCAGGATTCCTGGCTGTTACTAGTCAGCTATTTCAAGTAAATTCTGATTTACTTGGTTGGTGTTTTTGTGAACGACAGTTACCTTCAGACAGACTTAATGGAAGACCAGAGAGTTACCAGATGCGTGTTACTCATGGTGGGTGCTGGCTTCTCTAAAGATTATTGAAAGGCTTCATTGATCGTTAGAGAGAAATTGAGGAATTTCATCTTAGCATTACAAGATGAAGAAACGGGTGATTTGCCGACAGACCGGGAGACGTGGTGGATCCTTTTCATATATTGTTTGGAATAGCTGGATTGTCTCTTCTGGGAGAACAGGTAAAACCTGTTAATCCAGTTTTTTGCATGTCTGAAAAAGTGCTGCAGAGGGTGAATGTTCAACCTCAACTAGTAACCTAGACTCACTCATGGAAAAGTTACTTAGTGTTGTTTATATCCATGTCAATCAACTTGCTTCATCTGTATTTGATGTATAACAGCTACTGTAATTTTATTTGCAAGTTTTAAAATGACAGAGTACAGCCATGTATGCATAAGAACTGCATGTTGCCGTGCATGTTGACACTATTCTACGTCCAATCCAGTCTCTTGCTAATGTGCAGCTTGAGAGGCAGGAGGTAATGGCTCAGACTCACCCAGGTGAAACATGGTGACTGAAGTTTCTGACACCTGTATCTGGACTGGTCCAGCACAGGGCTACTGCAAGCATTTGGAGATGAAGCCAGTAGCAGAAAGATTCTGATATTGTGTCACTCTTCTTTTTTTTTTTTAAAGATTTATTTTTATTACAAAGTCAGATATACATAGAGGAGGAGAGACAGAGAGGAAGATCTTTCGTCCGATGATTCACTCCCCAAGTGAGCGCAACAGCTGGTGCTGCGCTGATCCGAAGCCGGATACCAGGTACTTCTTTCCATGTTTCCCAAGCGGGTGCAGGGTCCCAAAGCTTTGGGCCATCCTAGACTGCTTTCCCAGGCCACAAGCAGGGAGCTGGATGGGAAGTGGAGCTGCCGGGATTAGAACCGGTGCCCATATGGGATCCTGGCGTGTTCAAGGCGAGGACTTTAGCCACTAGACCATGCTGCCGGGCCCTATTGTGTCACTCTTTCAAATAAAAACATCTGTTCAAAAAAGGGGGAAAAAAAAAGAGGGGGAAAGGGGTGTTGGAGCTACTCACTGGGGACCAAGGGAGCTAAAACTCTGCAGTAAGAAATGTGGCTGAGGCTTAAGGCTTATGTGTTCTTACATTTGTGAGTTTGAAACTCATTTGTTTGTGATTACATTGTATTAGTGGATTTTTGGAAACTTAGAACAGTTGATTTTCCAGGTCACTAGGTTCCGTGTCTACAGACCCAACTGACTTCACATAGAAATATTTAAATTAGGGGGGCTGGAATTGTGATATAGCAAGTTAAGCCTCTGCCTGCAACAGTGGCATCCCATATGAGTGCTGGTTTGAGTCCTGGTTCTTCCCCTTCCAATCCAGCTCCCTGTTATGGCACCTGGGGAAATCAGTGGCAGATGGCCCAACTCTTGGGCCCCTGTGCTCATGTGGGAAACCTGGAAGGAGCTCATGGCTCTTGACCTCAGCTTGGCCCAGCCCTGGACCTTGCAGTCATTTGAGGAGTGAACCAGCAAATGAGAAATCAGTCCTCTCCTGCCACCCCTGGCATCTCTTTTGCCCCTTCCTTCTCTGTAACTCTGCCTACCAAATAAATAAAAATGAAGCTTAAAAAAGAAATGCTATAAGCAGTATCACAAATAACTCAACCATTGACATAGTGTTTGCATTGTGTTAGGTATTAAAGGTAATATGGAGCAGGTTTAGAGTATATGGCAGGATGTGTATAGGTTATGTGCGAGCAGTGCACCATCTTATACTGGTCTTAAACTTAAAAATCCATGGATTTTTGGTATCCAGACTGTTCTGGAACCATATTAGGACAAGTGTCCAAAATAAAGAGTGTGTCTTGCCTTGCATTTGGTGCTGGCAGGGACTTCTCCCAAGAGAAAAGCTAAGAACATTGGCTTGTGGGCACAGGAAGTTGGCTTAGTGCCTCTCAACATCCTAATGAAGGAGGCAGAAAACAGGATTGGCTGGGGGACCTGAGTACATAGGAGTAGACAAGAGGGCTTCCGCCATCCCCAAATGTACCCTGTAACGTGGAGATAAGACGTTGTTGCAAGGAATTTGGCATCAAACCTTGTTTCTTGCCTCACATGAAAGAATTTTCATGTGGACAATGTTAGTGTGCGTAGCGAGATTTATTTAAGAGAGTGAAAGAGGTCTCCTGCCATAGGGCTGGGGGGAGCTCCGAGGGAGGGTAGACCCGAGACAATGACAGAAGTGGTGTCTATTAGACACTTTCTCGGGGGTGGGGACATATGTCAGAGGGGAGAGAGGGGAACTCACGCTCAATGGGTAGTCTAACTCCTTGTCAGAGGGAATAACTGGCTGCCCCCTCCTCCCATTCTCAGAATAAGCCGAAATCTCAGGATGCACCTTTTTGCTTCCTCAAGATAAAAATTCAGAGATGGAAGACACATTGATCTGGTTAGAGATCAGTGGGACTGCATGAGCACTTTAAAATTTCAGGTAAAACTGTCACTCAGGGAGGTAGAATTCAAATCCCAGCAGCGTAATTCCTATTTTGGTAAAACCAGAAACCTGGAGCAACTCCTAGTTCCCAAGGAGGTGAAACTGAGGGGGCCAGGAGGAGGAGGGGCAAGATTGTGTATTTTCTAAAAGGGTCTGCACCAGGGACCAGAGGTCCTCTCTACCTGTTAGATTAGCCTGTCTGATTCTTCATAAAGCAGTGTTAGGGCAGGAAGGCGGTTTAAACATTGTCTGGTTAAGTCTCTGTTGCTACAGATTAGTGAAAAGAGCGTCAAAGCTCCAGTGTGTGGCCGAGGAGACCTTGCCTTCCAGGAGAAGAATCAGGTTTAGGGTGGGGTCTCTGCGGGATCAGCCTGCTGCTTTCCCCCTTATACCTCTCTGCCCCGAGGAACAATAATCTGACCTAAATTCACTGGCAGGTGTGTATGACTACCATAAACTCTTAGGTAGGTAATTACAGCTGGGGGAAATGCACCCAACTTAGGAACCTGTAGGTGAGAATGTCAAAGTCAAAAAGGGGGGCCTGGCCAGAAGAAGGAGGGCAGGTGGTGCTTATTTCTCTATCTGTTTATTAAGTTGAATCTCCAGGATTGAACCTGAAGCCGTCCCACCCAGGACACTAGCAGAGAGAGAAGAATGAATGTTACAAATGGACGCATTTTAAATGAACAACTGCCCAAATCCACTTCCCCTGTGCCGGGAGGAAGCTCCCTCAGGCTGGCCCCAAGTGGTTCCATCTCATTACCGAGAGCCCAATGCATTAGAACTGTTTCTGCTTCATCAAGAGGTTTTCAGTTACCTTCAGAGTCAACAGGAAATTAATGCGCAAGTTGAAAACTGAAAGAAGATCTGTGCCTCGCTGCAGGAGTCATTAAAGCGAAAGCCAATTTGGCCGGATGGCAAAGGAGGTTTTCAGTCGCCCACACCCTTACTTAATAACAAAGATTCCAAAACTAAAAGCGCTGGGAGCAGAGGCCCATTGGAGGTTAAGGTACACGCTGGCCTAAACCCTGAACCCGCCGCCGGTTGAGCATGCCAGCCAGGTCACCATCCAAACACTTCTCCCTTTGGGCTCTCAAAAAGCCCCTGGAAACCCAACTATGCTCGGCCACGGTCTATTTAGAACTTCCGGGACTTGTCTCAGATCACATCTCTGTCTTGTGCTGTTTCACTGGTCTGTCAGCTGTAAGTTCTTTGTGGGGAAGCAGCTTTGGTTTTTCTCTTTCTTTTTTTTTCTTCTCCTGTTTTGGAATGATTGTATTTATTATTGTAAGCCTGGGTGGAGAATGCACTTCCTTGCTTATCATGCCATGATAGAGAAATACTCAGCAGTCATAATACCTGGATGCAGTAGAGAACACACAGGTCTGCCTACCATCTAACCTTTGCTCTGACTTGAGTTCTATCTGGGGGAAACAGCTTCTCTTGGTCTTCCTTAGTGTGGGAGTATAAACCCTCAGACCCCAAATTAGACAAATGATAGAATGATGGTGAGAAAATTCTTCTCGACGTCTTCCACTTGTTCCGGACCTGTTGTTGTCTGCAGGATCCCCGCTCTCGCCTACCACTAAGTATCGGTGGAGAGAACAGATGTAGAGTCAGCATACGTCACCCCGGGTCAAAGTGAAGACCCTTGGAGCTGCAGATACCAGAAGCTAAGGCCAGTGACTGTGAGCAAAGCAGAAAGGTGACTGGGCAAGGATTTGATTTTCTGAAGACAGTTCCCAGCAGGACTCAAATGCCTGTGTGTGAAGTCAAGTGTGCATGCCTGTTTGGACAACTTGGCCTGGAGTGGGAGATTTCTTAGAAAACGCAATTAAGGCAGAGTGATGTCTGCATGGAAAGAAGAGTCTTTGGGGGCTAGGCTGACATCGTCACCTGGGCTTAGAATAACGTGGGCAGATTGCTCGTGGGAGATAGCACATTTTCGTTCTTACCCTGAGCCATTCTTGGATGAGTAGTAAACTTGAGGGAACTCTCATGTCCTTGTGGCATGAAACTTTCTGGCAACTTTGTTGATATGTTTTCAGCCATTTTTTTTTTAAACACTGCCAGACAAAACAGTGCAAGAGCTAGTCACTCTGTTCCTTTTTTTTTTTCTTTAGAAGATGGAAGTTTGTTTTATTGACTAAAATATCGCTAAATATGGCTTCTTGGTTCAGCTGAGCGTGGTACTTGAAGCTGTGGTGCCAGCCTTAGTCACCGTGTTCTTAAAGAAATATCTAAAATTAGGCAACCCACTCATGTATCTATCCAAATTCTACCTCCCAGAATCCCTTGGGTACCAGGGAGAGGAAGTTTCTCTCCCGACCGTTCATATGGTTGGAACGTTGTGATGTCGCCTTGAGGTTTCTCCTTTGGGATGACTAGTAAACATCACCTGTGAACTTACACCGCACCTCGGATTGCTGCGTGTCTCGTCCTCTCAAAATGATAGAATCAGTGGCTACATTTTGATGGGACTCCTAGACTTTGTATGAATGATTTTGAAATCCACCCAAAAGAAGGACTTGATGGGGATACTTAGGATTCTTTTCCTTTCTTTTCTTCTTTTAAAGATTTATTTATTTTAACTGGCAAGATAGATTTACAGAGAGAAGGAGAGACAGAAAGACCCTCATATATATATATATATATGTATATATAAAAATATTGTGGCTATATGTATATATATTTTTTAAAAAAGGAATAGAGGGAAATAAACTGGGGCAGGGGCAGCGGGAAAAAAAAGGATAGAATGTGTGCTCTTTTGATTCTGTCCATTAAAAAAAAAGATTTATTTGTTTTTATTGCAAAGTCAGATATACAGAGAGGAGGAGAGACAGAGAGGAAGATCTTCCATCTGATGATTCACTCCCCAAGCGGCCACAGTGGCCGGGGAGGGAGTTGCATGGGAAGCAGGGTTGCTGGGACCAGAACCAACACCCACATGGGTTCCTGGAACTTGCAAGGCGAGGACTTTAGCCGTTAAGCTACTGCACCAGGCCCGATTCTGTTCATTTTTTTAAAAAGCAATTTATTTATTTATTTATTTATTTATTTGGGAAGTACAACATTAGAGAGAGGGTGAAAGACATCTTCCATTTGCTGGTTCATTCCTCAAAT